CAGCGGTTTTCTGTGGCACATGTAAATAAGCGATGCCGCAGCCACAGCATAAACTGTTCGATGCACAGTCGTATTGGGTGTTGAACCGCGAATCTCTAAACCGAAACCAGATTTTAAATGCGTGTAATTGTTATGTGGAAGAGCGTTGGGCAAACAAAATTTGCGTCACTTTTGCGGCAGCCACTGCGGTTGTCAGTGGCAGGTGGTGCACACCTGCCCTACCTCTTTGTGTGCGTGTGTGTTGCACTTTCCGGGAAAATAATTTATAAATAAAACGCATCGACATCAACGCGAAAGCGTGTCATGATTCTGCTGAACCTTACAATCTACAACCGCATGGACCCGGTACCCACGTTTGGCGGACGACCAGATTAAATATATCCCTTTTTTTGGCACCGTCTACCGCGTACGCTGTAGATGCTTTATTTATGCCATGAATAAATGCAAATTTTCCAACGCCGCAGCAGATTTTGCAACACATGAGAGAAAGCAGGCACGCGAAAGGACGCCTCAACATCCATCGCATGTCCTTTGCATAATAATAACTTGTAAATGTCATGTAGGGTATATGTCCCAAGCCCGTGCGCCTGTCCGTGAGCTGGGGAACCTGACTCTTTCGAAAAACATACACTGTATATAGAGTCTGGAGGAGTCGTGTGCCGTATCCGAATTAGCATTTAATATGTGCCATAAGGCCAAGAGCATTAAAATTGCTAATACGCCTGGCCCGAGTGTGGCCCAAGGAATCGGACAGTTAAGAAAATATAATCATTGCCTGCTGCAACAAGTGCAGCGGACAGAGAGAGGGGCTAAATCCAAGAGTAATGTAAACATTGAACCTCCACCTACACTCCGTTCATCTGTTTGCTTTTGCCCTCTCCATTCGCAAAGCTCAAACCCCTCGACCTTTGGCAAAGCCGATTAGACGGACAGTGTTATTCCTGGCACCACACTAATTGACCGGAAACGGAAAAAGTTGATTTATTTGCCTTGGCTCAAGGCCGAGAGGCGCTCATTAAAGCGATAAAAGCGTAAGCGGGGCATGGCAGGGCCACACAGTCAATTGCAATTTTCCGGCTCCCGATTGATTGGGCCCTGGTCGGAGAGCGATTTCCCTAAGCCAAGCAATCAGCCGGAGCTGATCAAACCAATTTGCAAATTAATCAGAAATATTGCCAAACATCTATCGGATTTGGGTGTGCTCCTTCTTTGCTCCTCCGCTGCTGCTTTGGGGGAATGCCATCAAATATTGCGCATACATCACGTAGGTCGCTGGAATATTCTTTAAAAATAGGAGTATTCACGTAAATCGTTGGTCGCTTCTGCATGGCTTCTCGCCACGCCACGGCACGGAAATTGAATTTTGCCTCAGTGGCTGGGTCCAGGAAATTATATCTATAACGAATTTAAATCGTTCCGTTTCGCACAGCTCTTAAAATCAATTAGATTTGTCTATTCATGCAATGTGGAGAGTTGGCAAGCAGGCAAGCAGTCCAGCAGCAAATGCCTGACAATCGTCGTAGTTGTTTTCATTTTATTTTCTGCTTCCCATTTGGGCTCGAATTAAATTCAGTATCAAAGAAACTTTAATTATTTATGAGCCCGAAGGAGTCTTAGCCACTCAATGGCATAAAATGGCAAATTTGTTGCCGCACTCCCCAGATTCATTGGGTGGGCATTTTTGCATTGGCAAGCGTTTTTTGCCCCCTCAGAGTCCCAAGACAGCGGACCACTTGTGTGCGATACTTTTGCAACAAAGACAGGCACAGCCCCCACAGCCCCCTCCTGTCAGACAAGGACAGAGTGTGCGGGAGAGAGAGAGATGGAGATGGAGAGAAAAAGAGACGGTGAAACGGACATACATATACGAAGAGCCATTTGAAAACTATTACGCCCATGAGATTCATTCAAGTAGTGCGGCATTTATAACTCAAATGTTGCCCAAGTTACAAAAAGCCTAAAAACTCGAGCACAACCAGAACTTAAGGAGCGGGAACTGGAACAGGAGCATGAATGGGATTCGCTGGCAGAAGAAGCTGAGCTGCAGCAAAGGATTTTCAGGAGCTCAAGGCAGTTGTAAGTGATGAGCAAGGAATGAGTGATGTACTCGAAGGAATTCACTTACATATTTTATTACCTTAACTTAAAAAAATTCACCATTTTCCATATTAAATGCAATCAGAATCGGAGCCACCAGAATAGAGCCAAATAAGGGGGTTCCCTATCCTTCAGAAAAAGCCTCCACCGACTTTTATATATTTTCTGTACGAGCTTCGGATAAACGTTCATATTCTATCTTTAAATACCGCAAAATGTATCTGTCTTACATGCCTTATCGATTTCGATCCATTATCCATATCTGTTTTCTCAGAAGCACAGAAATATTGCTCATCTCTGGTAGAGACTGTAACGAAGTGTGGCAGGAAGATGAAGGAGCTGTGGAAGCGGAAGAAACGGAAGAAGCAGCGCTGAAAATGGCAACACAGAATGGCATTCTCTGTGCTTGCTTTTTATTAGAATGTGTCCATGGAGACGTGGGCACCAGCCATTGTCTGGCTGCTCTCGGCAGCCTTCTCCATGAATCTCTATCGTCCTCTAGGCGAGTCGTATGCGAGTATGTGTGTGTAGTTTGCCATACATTTCTTAGCACGTAGTTATCTGTGGCAACAACTGGAACAACAGTCCCACTTGAAACAACAATAAAAAGTTGGTTGAAAACAGGAAAAGATACAGCCATATTCGTACGAGTATGTGTAGCCAACTCCCAGAACTGATACAAAACCTCGCAAACATCACAAGATAGGTAAATCAGAGCCATGCGCTAAGATATTTTCTCCATTTAGTTCATCCATCAAAGGTAATTCATTTTAGTGTGGATTTCAGCTGGTACATTCGAATGCCTATCCTGTGGCCCACTAATAATCACTAGAATAAACCTTATCGCAAGTTTTTTCGGCTTCTCTTTGTCTTCGGTCTCCAGCCAACTGAAGGCACCATCGCCATCAGGCTGGTCTAATGGCACGGCTAGCTCAATATTGTTTTCTTCACAGCCTCGGCAGGAAACGAATTAGGGTCTAGTAAGCTATACTGCACTCTGTGCTCAGCTCGCCGGATGGGGTCAGGGTCTATAATCAAAGAAAGCAAAGGCCACTACAGGGCTTATTAGTTTTGTGTTGAAAGTGGATGTGTATAACACTACTACTACTGTGGTAAGACACTGAAACAAGGCGTCAAGCAAGACGAACGGATAGAAGGACAGACAGACATAGCTATATCGACTCGAATTTTAATTCTGATCAAGAATATATACAAAAATAACATGCGCATATACTCTTTGCCTATATACATTTCATAAATATTGTATATATATTAACTCAAACTTAAATTTAATTTCAGACTATCCTTTTCTGTTAAGCCATTAAAAAATGGTTTTTATTAGAATTTGTATTCCATTTGGGTGGATTTCATTCAATTAGCTGGACTAGTGTCCTGATGGGGCGGCGTTTCAACTACGATTTTGTTGACATTTTTATTTGTGTTTCTGAGATTCGAGTCTGATTGGGCGAAGAGAAATAAAAGGACCCCGCCCTATACCTATACCTTTGCTTCCCTTCGTGGAAACCTCGTCGGTGGAGAGCCCCTGATCAGGACCGACAAGCAGAACAGGAACATTTAGCTGAGGCTCCTGAATAATTGGGATAACTTTGAATGATCAGGCCACCGGTACAGGCTTCCTCATGAATACCAAACAATGAACACTACGCAAGATTCGCATGAGGTTTCCTTTGGCTTCTTTTTGACTGCGCATAAATGGCGCTTCAGCCAACTTCAGGCAAGTAATTCGAGAAAGGGTTCGCAATCCGATAGTATCGTTAAAAGATACCCGGTAATCGAAGAGTTTTTTCAATAAATTACATTTATAGTACATACGCACTAGGGTTGCGCTTATTTGTATGGGCGAAAAAATGGTTCGGAATCAAAGGCCTCAGGGTTTAAAAAGGTTCCTTTTTATAAAAACATAAAATATAAAGTTTCAGCACGATTTGACAACGTTTTGAGGGGCTGACTTTAATGATTTGGAATATTAAAATATAATTCGTCGTCCAAAGCTGCAGCTCGATTAGTTTACATTTAAGCAAAAAATAAATAGTTAACAGCCCACTTTTATGTTAAATTAAGCCATTATTATTATTCAATGAATATTGACTAGCATGTTCTTTGGCGACGTACAGCAACTGCTAAAACTCATCTTCCTTTTTGGTTAGCATTTGCTCATAGTCTTACAAAAGCTTAACACCACTTTTAAATGTTTTAAGATTTCTAAATAATTTTGAAAAGGATCCATTCTGAAGGATCTTCAGTTAAAGAAAACCTTTGGAAATATTAAACCGATCAACAAATTTATCAGAATTAGGCGTCACAAAATCAGGTAGATTATTTGTAATAAACATTGGGAAATATTTTTCTTTCAATATAAATAGTTGTCAACCTAAATTCCTCTAGGAACATATGTATATATGTATGTATGTTTAAGTTATAAATCGCCTTAGACATCAAGTATGCACGGTGCATCAGTCCAGGTAGTCGAAAGCCCAAAAGAATTTGACTTAACTTTAATAATTCAGTGTAATCAGTACCGCATGAGTGTTCTCAATCTAACTTGACAGAAGTTAATTATAGCATTTCTTCTTTAAATTATATGCATTGCAACGTTCAGTAGTGTTTCAGTCTGGCAAAGAGTGGAACGTTTGTACCAGCTGTAGCTTCGGCAAATGATTCAAGTGCTGCCCTAAATATAAGTAGTAAGGTCTAAGGTATACGAGTTTTTGGTCTAATAATTTCTCTATGCGGAATGTAGCGCCGATGAATCGTCCAGATTTGTACGCTCTGTATCAAAACAGGCTAGTTAATAGTTTAATACACATATTTATAAATAAACGGTATGCATAATTTATTGGACTATGAATATTTGGAAACAAATTATAAAAAAAATACTTTAGTTTTCAATGAAATGGTTGAAAATAAAATTAATTAAAGATCAGATTTAATTTCATCCTTAACTTTTCTGCTTAACCATTAATCAATGAGATTCATATGATTTTGGGGGGATTGCATACGATCAGCCGGCTTAGACTGTTAATTTCTAACTATTCCCTATCCGTAAACCAGGCCTAGTCTGTACTGTTCTTGAAAACCCGGCCAACCCTGCCAACCCGGTGTTGGGCGTCCAGGTGTTGGGCCACCAGGTCCTGGCCCATCGGGTCCTGGCCCACCAGGTCCTGGGCCTCCTGGTGTTATGCCACCGGGTCCTAGGCCAACAGGTCCTGGGCCACCAGGTCCTGTGTTGCCGGCTACTGGGCCACTAGATCCTGGGCCTCCCGGTCCTGGGCCACCGGGTCCTGGCCCCCCTGGTTCTGAGCCACCGTATCCTGGCCAGCCTTGTCCTTGTTCTCCCGATTCTGGGCCACCGGCTCCTTGGCCACTAGATCCTAGGGCACCGGGTCCTGCGCCACCAGGTCCTGGGCCTCCCGGTCCTGGAAGTCCAGGTCCTGGGCTTCCTGGTCCTGGGCCTCCTGGTCCTGGACCTCCCGGTTCGTGGCCATCAGGTCCTGGGACTCCAGGTGCTGGCCAACCCTCTCCTGGCGCTCCCGGTGCTGTCCAACCCGGTCCTGGACCACCGGGTTTTGGCCCCCCCGGTCCTGACCAGTCCGGTCCTGGGCCTGCCGGTTCAGGGCCATCGGGTCCTTGAACAGCAGGTGTTGGGCGACCGGGTCCTGGGCCACCAGGTCCTGTCCCCCCAGGTTTTGGGCCATCAGGTCCTTGGACTCCCGGTGCTGGCCAACCCAGTCCTGGGCCACCGGGTCCTGTCCCCCCAGGTTTTGGGCCATCAGGTCCTTGGACTCCCGGTGCTGGCCAACCCAGTCCTGGGCCACCGGGTCCTGTCCCCCCAGGTTTTGGGCCATCAGGTCCTTGGACTCCCGGTGCTGGCCAACCCAGTCCTGGGCCACCAGGTCCTGCTCCACCAGGTGTTGGGCCTCCCGGTTCGGGGCCACCAGGTCCTTGGACTCCCGGTGCTGGCCAACCCAGTCCTGGGCCACCGGGTCCTGTCCCCCCAGGTTTTGGGCCATCAGGTCCTTGGACTCCCGGTGCTGGCCAACCCAGTCCTGGTCCACCGGGTCCTGTCCCCCCAGGTTTTGGGCCATCAGGTCCTTGGACTCCCGGTGCTGGCCAACCCAGTCCTGGGCCACCAGGTCCTGCTCCACCAGGTGTTGGGCCTCCCGGTTTTGGGCCATCAGGTCCTTGGACTCCCGGTGCTGGCCAACTCAGTCCTGGGCCACCGGGTCCTGTCCCCCCAGGTTTTGGGCCATCAGGTCCTTGGACTCCCGGTGCTGGCCAGCCCGGTCCTGGGCCACCGGATCCTGGGCCACCGGATCCTGGGCCACCGGGTCCTGGCCCCCCTGGTTCTGGGCCACCGTATCCTGGCCAGCCTTGTCCTAGTCCTCCCGATTCTGAGCCACCGGGTTTTGGCCCCCCCGGTCCTGACCCGCCCGGTCCTGGGCCTCCCGGTTCAGGGCTATCGGGTCCTGGAACAGCAGGTCCTGTGCCCCCAGGTTCTGGGCCATCAGGTCCTTGGACTCCCGGTGCTGGCCAACCCGGTTCTGGGCCATCAGGTCCTTGGACTCCCGGTGCTGGCCAACCCGGTCCTGGGCCACCGGGTCCTGTCCCCCCAGGTTCTGGGCCATCAGTTCCTTCGACTCCCGGTGCTGGCCAACCCGGTCCTGGGCCACCGGGTCCTGTCCCCCCAGGTTTTGGGCCATCAGGTCCTTGGACTCCCGGTGCTGGCCAACCCAGTCCTGGGCCACCGGGTCCTGTCCCCCCAGGTTTTGGGCCATCAGGTCCTTGGACTCCCGGTGCTGGCCAACCCAGTCCTGGGCTACCGGGTCCTGTCTCCCCTAGTTCTGGGCCATCAGGTCCTAGGCCACCAGTTCCTGGGCCAACGGGTCCTGGGCGATCGGGTCCTGGGCCACCGGGTCCTGGTCCCCCTGGTTCTGGGCCACCGTTTCCTGGCCAGCCTTGTCCTAGTCCTCCCGATTCTGGGCCACCGGGTCCTGGGCCACTAGATCCTAGGGCACCGGGTCCTGCGCCACCAGGTCCTGGGCCTCCCGGTCCTGGAAGTCCTGGTCCTGGGCTTCCTGGGCTTCCTGGTCCTGGACGTCCTGGTCCTGGGCTTCCTGGTCCTGGGCCTCCTGGTCCTAGACCTCCCGGTTCGGGGCCACCAGGTCCTGGGACTCCAGGTGCTGGCCAACCCTGTCCTGGCGCTCCCGGTGCTGGCCAACCCGGTCCTGGGCCACCGGGTCCTGGTCCCCCTGGTTCTGGGCCACCGTATCCTGGCCAGCCCGATCCTGGTCCTCCCGGTTCTGGTCCACCAGGTGTTAGAACACCGGGTCTTAGGCCACCGGGTCCTGGGCCACCCGGTGGTGGTGCTGGAGCAATAGGAGCTGACGTAGCCTGACCTCCAATTTTGACTTTGTTGAAATTTTTATTTACGTTGCCATTTCCGTTCTGCGGCCTGGCAAACCCCAAAGCGAAGAGCAAAAAAAGGAACCCGCAATAGAGCTTCATATTAGCGAGGTAGGGAATCAATATGAAGCCGAGGCCTTGCAATCCTCCATTTATACGAGTATGGGAATGTTGATGTAGACGAATCGAATCATACGATTTAGTTACAGTTACATAAGGTATACTGGTTTTGACGTGGTATTTTTTTGTGAAATTACATAGTCCTAGGGGAATAGTCTTACGAACCTCAATTCTGTATATTCATTTATCGTTTTATATACACAGGAATCTGGTTTCACTGGTCGAACATTCACTTTCTACTGGAGTACCAGCTTAAATTGTAGTGAAATCCGAATTTCAAACACTATCAGACCTTGACTAAAACGAAGTTTGCAAAAGTCAAGTCCAGACAGTGGCATGTCGTCCATTCTAGTGATTACTCGAACTCTCCGAGTCCCAGTAATAACTTTGATAGTCTCGGACTGTGGGCTCTTCTCTGTTGCCAAGGTGTTCACAGCAGCAGTGAAAACAAGGCTTTAGTTTTCAATGAAATGTCATCCTTTTCTTTTCTGTTAAACCTTTACAAAATGGCGTCTATATTATGCTTTCGGAAGGATATGATCAGCTGGCTTAAACGCTTAATCCTTAAATATTCACAATTGTTTCGTCAGGAATGGCATCTTTCCTGTTTTTGACAACCAGCGAAGATGGTTGAATGTGACGGATCTAAACAATAGATTACGTTACGGTTACATAAGGTATACTGGGTTGACATGGTACTTATTTGTGAAATCACACATTTCTTTGCCCAGAAAGGCCATAAAGTGTCATATCTATTTTCCTGTTTCCCCCAGTTTTCTAGTCCAAGTTTCTAACTTTGATCCCCACTGACTACTAGAGTACCAGTAGACAATCTTGTAAAATTCGACGGTCTTTACAGCCGTTCTCGCGCGCCTTTCTTTCGCCTTCTCTATTGCTCTCTCGACCTGTCGAGCTCTCGCTTGGATTAGGGCACAGACAATTTGGCCGCCTGACACCATCTTGAATCAACTCCCGCGTCTTCAATCTGACCCCGTCTTGAATCGAGCTAATCATCAAACAGACTCGTCGTGCTCTCGTCATAAACCTGATTCGAAACTTTCGCTATTTTTTCGACTCTGCATCGCATTTATACCATCACACAGTAAACCGTATAACACCGAACAATCTTCTACTTTTAATATATAGATCACAAACATAACCTGCGGAAATAGCTCAGCATTCATTTCCTTTACATTTCATTAATGCAAAAACTTAAAGAACTTGTATAACCTCATTGATTCCCCAAAAATTCCATTATTAACTCCGGACAGAACCTCGACAGACTCATTTTCCCCTCTCTGTTGCAATAGCGAAATGTAGTCAAATGAAAAACTAATTAATTTTTCCAAATAAACCCATGCCAAATAGCCAGGAGCTGTTTCAGCCATCAGTTTGGCCATCAGTCACAGTCGAGAGGAGTCCTCGCGGCGCTTTCAAGTTCTGTATAAATATTTTGGCATCATTAAACAAAAGCAGACGCTACTTTATTTATGAGAAAACAAATTCCAAATAATTTAACATATACCTGCTACTATCTATATTTATATTCAAAACATATTAGAGGCCAGAGACCTCCAACGGCACTGGCACTGGCACTGGATTCTAGATCCGGCGTTCTGGCTTGGAGAGCTGGGGCTGAGGGAAACTAATGCACAAATTTATTGTGACTTTTGGCACTGCCTGCAACAGCTGCTCCCCATTATGTGAGGCACCCAGGAACTCCCTCCAGCGCCAGCTCCAAAAAAAGGGAAAAATAAAACCGAAAAAAACACACATGTGTCTCCTGCTCGGTTTTATCTGCTGCTCTGCACGCGGCGCATTTGCATATTTCGTGCACTGATGCAGCGGCAGGAGCAGCAGGATCCCAAGCAGGAGCTCAGTTTTTATTTTTATTTCATTTTTATTAATGCGAAAAATGTAATTTCAAGCATTTGCAACTGCAGCGTACCCTTAAGGGCATAAGACAGCCAGCAGAAAAAAAATTGGCATGTGGAAAATTGCAAAAATTCCATGCAGCCAAAAAACGAAAAAGAAAAAAAACCAACGAAAGCAAAATCATTTTCAACCCTTTGACGACAGAATCCATTTTTGGCGTTAAATTTCAAGTTTTTAAATAAGTTGTCCATGCTTTTTTTTTTAACTAGATTTTTGCAGCTTGGAATATTTTGTACAGCTTTATATACTATTTTTAGGAGAAATTGTAGTTGTTATGGCTGGTAGTTAAAGATAACAATGCTTTATTATATTTTGGAAGATGTATGTAACAGCCTGAAGGAAGCGTTTCCGAGCGCATAAACTACATAAATATATCCTTGATATAGCTATGTTAATAATAATGTCCTTGTTTCCGTCGATTTGTTGTCAGCGAACTCTCTGTCTCTCACAGAGTAGCTTAGCAATAAAGGTTGAGTTTTCATGGCTGGCGTGTTATCAAAGTTCACTAAGAATGACATATGATAATTTTAGAGTTAGACATTATGCTCGTTCCTGATTTCGGGCTTGCTAAGTGTGCGCCCAAATAAAACGGCAATTTCCTCAATAATTCTCAAGAATTTGGGCAAACATACCACTATGGTCCGAACGACCACTTTTGTTGGCCAAAACCTAATTTTTCAAAGTCAAAACTGAAACCTGGTTTTGATCGCCCTGCATTAGAAAAAGATCGACCATTAAATCTGCGTACCAGAAATTTCCATAGATGGCGCCACATTCGCAAAATCAGCTGTGCAACCCAACTGTTTTTATAGTAAAGCACGTGAAGGGAAAAAGTGGCAAATTAATAACCACTTTAAATATCTCAAAAATTGAAAAACGCCAAGACGTGATTAAATTTTTTTGATGAATCTTAATCTGTCGGGTTCTTACTACGTGTTTTGAGTTTTTAACTGTCTCTAGTAGTTCTGATGTCTTCGTATTTGAAGGTTAAAGTGAGGCCTTCAACATGTGCCAACTTGTAATGAAAACTAATTTTTGAAAAGGTGTACAAAGTGAGTCCTACCTAGTCCCACCCTGAAACCTTTTCTGTGTCGTAGATTAATAAATACTTTTTGAAATGTATATAGTTAGAAATGCCACTTTTTACCACAATTCTTGGAATTTACATTAATAGAGCATAACCTCAAATTCGAAAATGCAGATTTGTTTGCCGAATGGAATTCAAAGAAGGGTAAAATTATCAATTATTTGAAAACGGATCTTAAGGCGACATATCATATGAAATTAATAAAGCTTTTGAAGATACCAGCAAGAAAATTTGTTACCGTTTGGCAACATACCGGAACAAATGCCGGTAAAATTCAAAGATGTTTGAACGAAAATATGTGGATTGGCCACAAGCCTTTGTTATAATACATTTATCTTTATGTCCAAATATGCTAACTAAGTTCGTAAGGCTGTACAGGACCCAGTAGGAAAGCCGGCACATATCTCACTTAACGAGGCGTTAACCTTGCTTCTAGACAAGGATTTCGGCAATAATTTACGGAAACCTTTAAACGATTTTATTTTTATTTAAATCAAAATTTTTTTTAGTCGTGCAACGCTGTTTTCTTAAATAAAATATGCTTAATACTTTTTTTCACTATAACTAAAAATTTAAATATGCATTATTAAAAAAAGGGGCGGTGCCACACCTATTTTTTTTCTTAAATCCATTTCTTATTGATTATATGTATCCAATACAAAAAACTAAATGAAAAAATCTTGTTCCGTTCGGGAGTTATTAATTTTGGCCAACAAAAGTGGTCGTTCGGACCATAGTGCATACGTGGTAACCGTTAGTAGTTAGAATTCGAAACATTTGCTACAATTACCAAAGCAATCTAAGCATTTGATTAGATTTTTACCGTCTCGGGAATGTCTCGGTCTGCCTACTTCACTCCTAACTTACGGTTATGTCAGGTCCGTGTCCATTGGGTCAGATGAAATTTTGGTTCGTTACTTTCATTTGCATTTGTCACGCTCGTTAGACCTTTCGAAATTCCCGCTGGGATTCCCGTACGAGTTCGATGTCCAAAGGCAGTCACGTGACTTGAATCTGCCCCATGGGCAAAATGAAAACTAAAGCTGAGTAAACTTTAAATAATGCACATGGAGTTTGTAACTTTTCCTATGACAATGTGTTGTATGAATGTATATTTTTTCCTAATGCACAACCGACAACAATGCTGGACTACAACTTACGGCTGTCTGCCTGTCAGCTCATAAATAAATAAATATAAAAAATTCCAGCAACAGTTTTCAGCTGCTGGTTTTACTTGGCAGCGAGCAGCGCATAAATGCCAAGAAGAGCTCTCTAAGTTGAAATCCTTTGGCTTTATCTAAGTACTGGTAATAGGATGAAATGAATGTCCAAGTAGCGTTACTCGCTTGGTCACAGTGCAACGGCCTGCAAGAAAGCCGCAGTTGCAAGAAGACGACATAAAATGGGACATTTTCCTGGGGAAATTGCCAGTATTCTTGAAATAGAATGCAACAGGTTATCAGCAAATCGTAATACGGTAACTATCCAGTACAGCTACTCGTTGGGAAATAGGAAAGACAGAATGAAAAATGTTTCAAGCACTCGGAATATACGAGTAAGCAGGGATTTTCAGGTAGGCAAGCACTCTCTTATATTTTACATTTTTTAGATAATCGAAATTGTGATTCCGACTGATATAAAAACCCATCCGTCAGCACCCAGTCAATATCCTCCTCGATGAGGGCATTGCGACGGACTCGCACTTGTGTCCCTCTACCGAAAGCGGTGGACCAAAGATTCCGTAACTGAAATAATTGTAAGATTTCTAATCTCGGTAAATAAACTATGGAAATACGTTTCATCCTTGAACAGTTTGCTCTTCGCTCCACCAAATTCCACCAAAAATAGATATCATGCCCATGAGCACCCGTCCACTCTGTGTATCTGGCTAAAAGCTAAATCTAAAATTGAAATAAAACACCAAAAAGGTTGATTAAATTCCAGCAATGATCGCACGCCCAAAATGAATGCCACA